CTGGAGAAATATCAAGGGTGCCAACAATTTCGGCCATGACTGTATATACCATAAACAAGTGTAAATGTGTAACAGCTGTCATGTGTTCCCACACCCAAATAAATAATACAAAATTAAGTGCAGCACAACAAAGCAATACAAATGTAAATATACATCTGAAAAAATAAAGTTCATATTGTATGGCATAAATAAATAATAGACTGTGATAAATATATGAAAAAAGCAAATAAAATACATTAAAATTCATGACCCTAAGGAGGGGCTCTGTGAGGTTATCACACCAGTCCAAGGTCGACCATTTTACACATCATTCTGAATTGATGTTTATCCTTAAGGGGGCAATGTATTTGGAAATTTAAAAAGGTGATTCATCTTGTGCCCTAGATTTATAGTGCACTTATTTTGTGAGTAGTATTTTATTATTTTGGGCTAATAAAGCTCTGCGTGTGTTTGTACTGCACCATAAGAGGTTATGTCTTTTTTCTTTTCTATTGAATGGGCTGGATTCTGAGATGTCAAGTTGATGATAGATCTGTGGCTTACTTTCCTGGTGGATTGTGGAATGTTTTGACCTAGGTTGCTGGGAAAGTGTGTGTTGACCTTACCTTTTTGCGGCCATGTTTTAAAGTAAACGGTAGCAGAAAGGTGGTGGCACACAGAGGTGCTGGCATGTTGTACTGAAGCATGCATGATGAACACACATGTGAGTATATGCAAATTTTTTTAAGTACATTATAGAAGAGGATTTTCTGCAAGAGTTGGACAGATACAGTATATATATATATATATATATATATATATATATATATATATATATATATACTGTATATATGGACATTCTTTCTTTTTTTCTTTTTTTTTCTTTCCTTTTTGGAGTGGGTCACAAATTTTAATTTATTGAATTTACTATATTTATTTTTCATATTTTTATCATAGTTTATTATTTATTTATGCCATACAATATTAACTGCATTTTGTGCAGATGTATGTTTACATTTGTATTGTTTTGTTGTGCTGCACTTGATTTCGTATCATGGAACAATGTTTGGTGAGCAGACCTTGGGGTGAAAAAATGCTATGCTTTGCAGACTTGTTAAAGTAGTTCTAACGGTAAAACATTTTTACCTTAATGCATTCCCTGAATTAAGGTATAAAATGTTTTGTCATTTGTCCTTTCCCCCCCAAATACTGAGTCCTTTAACCTCCCTGGAGGTATTCCCGAGTGTAGTTCAGGGTTAACTTTCAGTACCAAAAGGGGTAACCCCAAGCTACACTCGGGATTATCCTGCAGCGTTGCTCCAGGATCCCTGTTTCACTTACCTTGTCCTGCGCTCCCGCGATGTCCCCCCTGCAGCATCCCCGGCCATCTCCTCCAGCCGATGCCGGCATCCGTCTTTCGGGCTCCGTTCCTTGCGAACGTTGTGACGTACGGGATGTACGGAGGATGGAATCGGCGGGAAATTTTAAAAGTGACATTCACTCAATACACTTAAATCACATAGTAAAACATTACTGTATCAAACCATTTCACATACATTTTGTCCCTAGTGCTTTGTCCTGCGCCCTGCCTACATTTTTACTGTTCTTTCTGCCTTGAAACTGAGAAATGTCCATGGCGTCGAAAAAGCGTTCCTTTAGGTCAAAAGCGGCTTTAGCTAGAGAACAGTGATAGTAAATTAGAACCACTTGCAGAATTGAGTGATAATTAGAGATGAGCGAAGAAATGAAAAAAATTCGATTCGACTGATTCGGCGAATTCGTGGACAATATTCGATTCGAGTCGAATAAATTCGCTGTGAATTTAACTTAAAAAAGGGTGTTTCTAGGCTTCAGAGAGACTTAATATTAGTGCAGAACACTGTACCTTTAATTTAAATGCCCTTGGAGTCTGCTGGGGAAGAGAAATAATACTGTCAGTCAGTATGACATGCAGATGAGTGCCGTCGATCTTAGAATCACCGCACACTTCACTCATTTGGCCAGTCACGGGGCCAAAACCAGTGTTTGGAGCCACAGTGTGGCGGTGGAGGCAGCAGCAATGGGAGGCCATACAGCAACCTATGACAAAATGGAAACCAGCAGGAGTGTGAGGAGACCTGAAAGTGGCACATGGCAGAGTGGGAGCAATGGGAGGCCGTACAGGGACCCAGGTCACACTGTGGGCCCAGCAGCAGCGTGACCAGGCGGTACGGGGGCCCATGGCAGATTTGGGGCCTGGCAGCACCTATGGGAGGCCTGTAATCTGCCAGCACCCTATGACAAAATGGAACCCTGGGCTGGGGCAGGCAGAACCGCCGTATCTTTATCACGGTTTTCCCAGGCCACCGAATGGCGACGCTGCATATGCTGACGCAACGCTGTAGTCCCAACATGGGCCCCCTGGCCACGCTTGACTTTCTGGCCACATAGTCGACATACGGCTACGTTTACTTCCTCGGCCGCGGCTTGACGAAAAATTGCCACACCGCAGAGTATGAAACTTTGCCTCCGCTACTCCTCACTGGCTGCTGCTACTGCTACTTCCTCCGTGCACACCGGCACCACTACTGGCCGTGGTGGTAGGCTGCAGTGGAGCTGGTGCTCTACTCCGTGGCCGTTTGCCTCCACTGACACTGCTGCGCGACCCTGCTGCCTCCTGGCAGCAGCAATGGGGCAATGGGAGGCCGTACAGGGACCCATGAGAGACTCTGGACTTGGCAGCAGCATGAGGAGAGGCGGTATATAGGGGCCCATGGCAGATTAGGGGCCTGGCAGCAGCTATGGGAGGCCCGTAATCTGCCAGCACCCTATGTCAAAAAATTCAACACACCAGCAGTGTGAAGAGACCTGAATGTGGCACACATGCAGAGTGTGGCGATGGAAACAGCAGCAATGGGAGGCCGTACAGGGACCCATGAGAGACTCTGGACTTGGCAGCAGCATGAGGAGGCGGTATATAGGGGCCCATGGCAGATTAGGGGCCTGGCAGCAGCTATGGGAGGCCCGTAATCTGCCAGCACCCTATGTCAAAAAATTCAACACACCACCAGCAGTGTGTGAGAGAGACCTGAAAGTGGCACATGGCAGAGTGTGGCGATGGAGACAGCAGCAATGGGAGGCCGTACAGGGACCCATGAGAGACTCTGGACTTGGCAGCAGCATGAGGAGGCGGTATATATAGGGGCCCATGGCAGATTAGGGGCCTGGCAGCAGCTATGGGAGGCCCGTAATCTGCCAGCACCCTATGTCAAAAAATTCAACACACACAGCAGTGTGAAGAGACCTGAAAGTGGCACATGGCAGAGAGTGTGGCGATGGAAACAGCAGCAATGGGAGGCCGTACAGGGACCCATGAGAGACTCTGGACTTGGCAGCAGCATGAGGAGGCGGTATATAGGGGCCCATGGCAGATTAGGGGCCTGGCAGCAGCTATGGGAGGCCCGTAATCTGCCAGCACCCTATGTCAAAAAATTCAACACAACAGCAGTGTGTGAGGAGACCTGAAAGTGGCACATGGCAGAGTGTGGCGATGGAGACAGCAGCAATGGGAGGCCGTACAGGGACCCATGAGAGACTCTGGACTTGGCAGCAGCATGAGGAGGCGGTATATAGGGGCCCATGGCAGATTAGGGGCCTGGCAGCAGCTATGGGAGGCCCGTAATCTGCCAGCACCCTATGTCAAAAAATTCAACACACCAGCAGTGTGAAGAGACCTGAAAGTGGCACATGGCAGAGTGTGGCGATGGAGACAGCAGCAATGGGAGGCCGTACAGGGACCCATGAGAGACTCTGGACTTGGCAGCAGCATGAGGAGGCGGTATATAGGGGCCCATGGCAGATTAGGGGCCTGGCAGCAGCTATGGGAGGCCCGTAATCTGCCAGCACCCTATGTCAAAAAATTCAACACACCAGCAGTGTGAGGAGACCTGAAAGTGGCACATGGCAGAGTGTGGCGATGGAGACAGCAGCAATGGGAGGCCGTACAGGGACCCATGAGAGACTCTGGACTTGGCAGCAGCATGAGGAGGCGGTATATAGGGGCCCATGGCAGATTAGGGGCCTGGCAGCAGCTATGGGAGGCCCGTAATCTGCCAGCACCCTATGTCAAAAAATTCAACACACCAGCAGTGTGTGAGAGACCTGAAATGTGGCACATGGCAGAGTGTGGCGATGGAGACAGCAGCAATGGGAGGCCGTACAGGGACCCATGAGAGACTCTGGACTTGGCAGCAGCATGAGGAGGCGGTATATAGGGGCCCATGGCAGATTAGGGGCCTGGCAGCAGCTATGGGAGGCCCGTAATCTGCCAGCACCCTATGTCAAAAAATTCAACACACAGCAGTGTGAGGAGACCTGAAAGTGGCACATGGCAGAGTGTGGCGATGGAGACAGCAGCAATGGGAGGCCGTACAGGGACCCATGAGAGACTCTGGACTTGGCAGCAGCATGAGGAGGCGGTATATAGGGGCCCATGGCAGATTAGGGGCCTGGCAGCAGCTATGGGAGGCCCGTAATCTGCCAGCACCCTATGTCAAAAAATTCAACACACCAGCAGTGTGTGAGGAGACCTGAAAGTGGCACATGGCAGAGTGTGGCGATGGAGACAGCAGCAATGGGAGGCCGTACAGGGACCCATGAGAGACTCTGGACTTGGCAGCAGCATGAGGAGGCGGTATATAGGGGCCCATGGCAGATTAGGGGCCTGGCAGCAGCTATGGGAGGCCCGTAATCTGCCAGCACCCTATGTCAAAAAATTCAAACACACCAGCAGTGTGAAGAGACCTGAAAGTGGCACATGGCAGAGTGTGGCGATGGAGACAGCAGCAATGGGAGGCCGTACAGGGACCCATGAGAGACTCTGGACTTGGCAGCAGCATGAGGAGGAGGCGGGCGGTATATAGGGGCCCATGGCAGATTAGGGGCCTGGCAGCAGCTATGGGAGGCCCGTAATCTGCCAGCACCCTATGTCAAAAAAATTCAACACACCAGCAGTGTGTGAGGAGACCTGAAAGTGGCACATGGCAGAGTGTGGCGATGGAGACAGCAGCAATGGGAGGCCGTACAGGGACCCATGAGAGACTCTGGACTTGGACTTGGCAGCAGCATGAGGAGGCGGTATATAGGGGCCCATGGCAGATTAGGGGCCTGGCAGCAGCTATGGGAGGCCCGTAATCTGCCAGCACCCTATGTCAAAAAATTCAACACACCAGCAGTGTGAGGAGACCTGAAAGTGGCACATGGCAGAGTGTGGCGATGGAGAGACAGCAGCAATGGGAGGCCGTACAGGGACCCATGAGAGACTCTGGACTTTGGCAGCAGCATGAGGAGGCGGTATATAGGGGCCCATGGCAGATTAGGGGCCTGGCAGCAGCTATGGGAGGCCCGTAATCTGCCAGCACCCTATGTCAAAAAATTCAACACACCAGCAGTGTGTGAGGAGACCTGAAAGTGGCACATGGCAGAGTGTGGCGATGGAGACAGCAGCAATGGGAGGCCGTACAGGGACCCATGAGAGACTCTGGACTTGGCAGCAGCATGAGGAGGCGGTATATAGGGGCCCATGGCAGATTAGGGGCCTGCCTGGCAGCAGCTATGGGGAGGCCCGTAATCTGCCAGCACCCTATGTCAAAAAATTCAACACACAGCAGTGTGTGAGGAGACCTGAAAGTGGCACATGGCAGAGTGTGGCGATGGAGACAGCAGCAATGGGAGGCCGTACAGGGACCCATGAGAGACTCTGGACTTGGCAGCAGCATGAGGAGGCGGTATATAGGGGCCCATGGCAGATTAGGGGCCTGGCAGCAGCTATGGGAGGCCCGTAATCTGCCAGCACCCTATGTCAAAAAAATTCAAAACACACAGCAGTGTGAAGAGACCTGAATGTGGCACATGGCAGAGTGTGGCGATGGAGACAGCAGCAATGGGAGGCCGTACAGGGACCCATGAGAGACTCTGGACTTGGCAGCAGCATGAGGAGGCGGTATATAGGGGCCCATGGCAGATTAGGGGCCTGGCAGCAGCTATGGGAGGCCCGTAATCTGCCAGCACCCTATGTCAAAAAATTCACACACCAGCAGTGTGTGAGGAGACCTGAAAGTGGCACATGGCAGAGTGTGGATGGAGACAGCAGCAATGGGAGGCCGTACAGGGACCCATGAGAGACTCTGGACTTGGCAGCAGCATGAGGAGGCGGTATATAGGGGCCCATGGCAGATTAGGGGCCTGGCAGCAGCTATATGGGAGGCCCGTAATCTGCCAGCACCCTATGTCAAAAAATTCAACACACCAGCAGTGTGTGAGGAGACCTGAAAGTGGCACATGGCAGAGTGTGGCGATGGAGACAGCAGCAATGGGAGGCCGTACAGGGACCCATGAGAGACTCTGGACTTGGCAGCAGCATGAGGAGGCGGTATATATAGGGGCCCATGGCAGATTAGGGGCCTGGCAGCAGCTATGGGAGGCCCGTAATCTGCCAGCACCCTATGTCAAAAAATTCAACACACACAGCAGTGTGTGAAGAGACCTGAAAGTGGCACATGGCAGAGTGTGGCGATGGAGACAGCAGCAATGGGAGGCCGTACAGGGACCCATGAGAGACTCTGGACTTGGCAGCAGCATGAGGAGGCGGTATATAGGGGCCCATGGCAGATTAGGGGCCTGGCAGCAGCTATGGGAGGCCCGTAATCTGCCAGCACCCTATGTCAAAAAATTCAACACACACAGCAGTGTGTGAGGAGACCTGAAAGTGGCACATGGCAGAGTGTGGCGATGGAGAGACAGCAGCAATGGGAGGCCGTACAGGGACCCATGAGAGACTCTGGACTTGGCAGCAGCATGAGGAGGCGGTATATAGGGGCCCATGGCAGATTAGGGGCCTGGCAGCAGCTATGGGAGGCCCGTAATCTGCCAGCACCCTATGTCAAAAAATTTCAACACACAGCAGTGTGTGAGGAGACCTGAAAGTGGCACATGGCAGAGTGTGGCGATGGAGACAGCAGCAATGGGAGGCCGTACAGGGACCCATGAGAGACTCTGGACTTGGCAGCAGCATGAGGAGGGAGGCGGTATATAGGGGCCCATGGCAGATTAGGGGCCTGGCAGCAGCTATGGGAGGCCCGTAATCTGCCAGCACCCTATGTCAAAAAATTCAACACACCAGCAGTGTGTGAGGAGACCTGAAAGTGGCACATGGCAGAGTGTGGCGATGGAGACAGCAGCAATGGGAGGCCGTACAGGGACCCATGAGAGACTCTGGACTTGGCAGCAGCATGAGGAGGCGGTATATAGGGGCCCATGGCAGATTAGGGGCCTGGCAGCAGCTATGGGGGAGGCCGTAATCTGCCAGCACCCTATGTCAAAAAATTCAACACACCAGCAGTGTGTGAGGAGACCTGAAAGTGGCACATGGCAGAGTGTGGCGATGGAGACAGCAGCAATGGGAGGCCGTACAGGGACCCATGAGAGACTCTGGACTTGGCAGCAGCATGAGGAGGCGGTATATAGGGGCCCATGGCAGATTAGGGGCCTGGCAGCAGCTATGGGAGGCCCGTAATCTGCCAGCACCCTATGTCAAAAAATTCAACACACCAGCAGTGTGTGAGGAGACCTGAAAGTGGCACATGCAGAGTTTGAGGCATGAGATTCATGGCGGATTTAGTCAATGTGTCAGGGAACTGGGGAAATCCATGACTAATCCTCTGCCTGATTCATTGGCAGCACAAACGTGAGTCGGTCCACACTTTGGGGTGGACAGTAGTGGCCTCCGCGGAGTTATGGGATACCGTAATCTGCCGCACCCTAAAACGCGCTCCGACACCACGCAGTGTGTGCCGGGCATGACAGCCTTTCAAGGGCAAAGTTTCAGCTAGATTGGGGCCAAAGGTCAAGTTTCGTTGCCCAGTAGTCAAGGGGATTGTCTACCTCGGTTGGCAGGGTGCTGTCCAAGTAGGCCCAAGCCTGTTGTTTGAGCTCCTGCTCCCCAGGTCCACCTCCTGCTGCTGCTGCTGGGCTGGTTAGTAGTTTCCTCACTGCGCTGGTGAGAAAGCTACTCATCATGACATCGACTGCAGACTGAGGCAGGGGCCGCTGCTTGGCAGGGTGCTGTCCAAGTAGGCCCAGCCTGTTGTTTGAGCTCCTCCAGGTCCACCTGATGCTGCTGCTGCTGCTGCGGCTGGTTAGTAGTTTCCTCACTGCGCTGGTGAAGAAAGCTACTCATCATCGACTGCAGACTGAGGCAGCCCCCCCCTACCCCTGCTGCCATGCCAGCGGAACGCGAGCGCACAGGGCCCACAGTGTCTCTGAGGATGGACGTTGGCGCACAAAGGCAGAGACCAACTGACTACATAGGTGGTTTTTATAGTACGTAATTTTGGCCTCCCTCTCAGCAGGTGTGAAAAAGGCCACCATTTTGGACCGGTAGCGAGGGTCCAACAAGGTGGACAGCCAAAAGTCATCCCTCTGTCTGATGGTTATTATTCATTCGGCTGTCGCTACGCAAGCAACCGAGCATGCTATGGGCCATTTGTGCCAAGGAATGCGAGGGACTCCCTGCCTCCATCTCCACAGCATACTGCCACGGTGCGTCTGGGTCCTCTGTCTCCTCCTCCTCCTCCTCCTCTACCAGATGCTCCTGCTCCTCCACTCCTGTCCGCTGAGTGGAAAAACCACCCATTTCACTCAATAATTCCTGAGCACAAATGTCCTCCTCTACCTCCTCCTCTTCTTCCTGTCCTGCCCCCACAGGGGTCATGTGGCGTTGAGATCTGTGCGCCACGTCTACCGCACCCTGACCAGCCATTGTTAACAGCATTTGTTCCAGGACGTGCAACAGAGGAATGACGTCGTTCATCCCATAGTCCTGCCGACTCACGAATAGCGTGGCCTCCTCAAAGGGCCTGAGCAAGCGGCAGGTGTCACGCATGAGCTGCCAATGGCTGACATCTAAGTTACACAGGGGAGTACCTTTATCGCTTTGTAACATAAGGAAATCGGTGATGGCCTTTCGCTGCTCGTAAAGGCGGTCTAACATGTGTAGGGTTGAATTCCACCTTGTTGCAACGTCGCAGATCAGGCGATGCTGTGGAATTCCGTTCTGCCGCTGCAGCTCAATGAGGGTGTTCTTTGCGGTGTAGGAATGGCTGAAATGCATGCACAGTTTACGTGACATTTTAAGGAGGATGTCTTGCAGTGGGATGGTGGATTTTAGGAACCGCTTGACAACCAGATTGAACACGTGAGCCATGCATGGCGCATGGCACAACCTTCCTTGACGCAGAGCAGACACCATGTTCTTTCCGTTGTCGGTCAACATGGTTCCGATTTTAAGTTTGCGCGGAGACAGCCATCTGTCGATTTCTCTGTTTCATTACACTCAGCAGTTCCTCCCCTGTGTGACTACGTTCGCCAAGGCATACCAGGTGCAGCACAGCGTGACACCGTTGCGCCCTGCACATGTGATATGCCGGTCGGGTAATGGGACTTGGCACGGGGGGCGGCTGAGGACACGGCGGAAAAAGAGGTGGTAGAGGCGGACATGTTTGCTGGACCAAGGACGTGCAAACGTGGAGGCAAAAGCGTCGTGACCTGTCCAAGTTGCTGGTGCGGCTGTGCCGGCACCACGTTCACCCAGTGGGCCGTAAATGACATGTACTGTCCCTGACCGTAGTTACAGCTCCACACGTCGGCGCTGCCGTGCACTTTGGCTTTGGCAGAGACCGACATGCTCAAAGACTGGCCCACCATCTCTTCTACATGTGAATGCAGGGCTGGCACTGCCTTTTTGGGCAAAGAAAAGAAATGACGGCTTGGCACTCTCCACCGCGGCGCGGCACAAGCCATCATTTCTCGGAAAGGTGCTGAGTCCACCAGTTGGAAAGGGAGGGACTGCAGCACCAGCAACTTGGACAGGAGGACGTTCAGCTTTTGCACCGTCGGGTGCGTGCTCGCAAACTGTTGTCTCTTGGAAACGGATTCCAAGAAAGACTGTTGACGGAATCCGAGAAGAGGAGTAGCAGGAGAAGGAGCATCTGAACGAGCGGAAGATGCCAACGAGCGACAACTCCCCTCAGCAGAGGTGTTGGAGCCTTGACTGGCTGATAGAGGGTGATTGACGACGTCGGGTGACGGAGCAAGTAACGGAGCGGGTGATGGAGCGGGGGCTGGGGCAGGCAGAACCGCCGTATCTTTATCACGGTTTTCCCAGGCCAACGAATGGTGACGCTGCATATGCTGACGCAACGCTGTAGTCCCAACATGGGCCCCCTGGCCACGCTTGCATTTCTGGCCACATAGTCGACATACGGCTACGTTTACTTCCTCGGGCGGCTTGACGAAAAATTGCCACACCACCGAGTAGGAAACTTTGCCCCCCGCTACTCCTCACTGGCTGACTGCTACTTCCTCCGTGCGCACCGGCACCACTACTGGCCGTGGTGGTAGGCTGCAGTGGAGCTGGTGCTCTACTCCGTGGCCGTTTGGCTCCACTGACACTGATGCGACCCCCTGCTGCCTCCTGGGCAACCCACCGACTGTTTCGCTCGCTGCCAAGCTGGCACCCTCTTCTCCTGATGATGCGGAAGAAATTGCCTGATGACGACGAGGCAGCCAAGTGCGATCAACCTCCTCATCATCAGGTACGGTCTCCGCCTCACTACTAGCCCCCTCGGCTGCGTCTGGGTCAGGAGACAGACCTGTCTCTAGACCGGCTACAGAGCCACTCTCCTCGCCAGTACTTCTTCGCCTGGCTGCTGAAAAGGCCGATGTCTCCCCCCGTTCCTGACCGCCCTCTGTTAGCTCTTCCTCACTGTACAGTGGGGCTGAGCCCACAGCATGCGATACTTCGCTTGGTGAGGGAACAGCAAAGGACAGGGGCAGGTAGAGGACATGTGATTTCAGTGGGCTTGCTCCCGGGCCATGCCAACTAACGGTTGTGTCTGACGTACCCACCGACCGTTGGCTGTAGGTGTCAGAGGTGACCTGGGAAGAGGAAGACGACCGAGCCAACCAATCAATGACGGCAGGGTTGTCGGTGGAGACACGACCGCTGGATGACACCGGGAGCACTGGCCTCTGGCTGCGAATAGTGCTGCCTCGACCCCCTTCCTCTGCTGCCACTGCTCGCTCGCCTAAAAAATTGCCTCCTCTGCCCACTCCTCTGCATGTTGTCTGACATACTCTTTAATTCAACGATTATGTGTCCCTGAGTAACAATTCTCTGGCACTCAGTAACAATTCTGTCTGTCCCTGAAATTCTGTAAAAATTCTGTGGCCCTAAGTAAAGTTTCTGTGGCCCTGAGTAACAATTCTCTGGCACTCAGTAACAATTCTGTCTGTCCCTGAGTAACAATTCTCTGGCACTCAGTAACAATTCTGTCTGTCCCTGAGTAAAAAATTCTGTGGCCCTAAGTAAAGTTTCTGTGGCCCTGAGTAACAATTCCTGGCACTCAGTAACAATTCTGTCTGTCCCTGAGTAACAATTCTCTGGCACTCAGTAACAATTCTGTCTGTCCCTGAGTAAAATTCTGTGGCCCTAAGTAACAATTTCTGTCTGTGGCCCTGAGTAACAATTCTCTGGCACTCCGTAACAAATTCTGTCTGTCCCTGAGTAACAATTCTCTGGCAC